ATACATAGGAGGATAAATCCTGAGGTCATGTACACTTATGAAAAAACTGCAACAATTTAAGGGCTCCTTTATTTAGCACTTATAATAATGAGAACAGAAGCCAAAAGCTGAAGGCAGACAAATTCTAATCTAAAGTACAGAACAAGTGTTTAGCAACAAGATAGCTAAAACTCAGCTCTCAGGAACAAAGCAGGAACATTTCTTGAATCTCCAAATAAAAGTGAATACAATTCTAGAAGAAATGCTTCACTGTAACATAACTTATCAGATTGCTGAAGGAAATGTGTGAATTACGTAGGTCAGTTTGGATGACCTGATTGCATCCTTCTTTAAAAACCCTATAAACTGAAAATAAATCATTACTCTAAAGCAAGTTACAGTTCACTAATATTATTTGCCTTATGTTTCCAATGCTTCTGAGTTCATTCTGTGAAGAGCAATGTTAATCACTTGGTAAAATCATGCAGTGAAAAGTCCCAACAAGCTCTCCAGTTGGCAAGCAGCCACCACGCTTCCCGTCACCTTTTGCCACACCATCTTCTTGGTAACACAGAGTATTTACAGGGGTGAGATGGAATGAGACATTTCATACAGCTGAGTTGCCAGTTGCTAATAGATAGGGTCTGTTGCTAGCTTGTATTTATTTCCCAAAATCAGAAGATCATCCACAGAACACAGCTTAAAATTGGCTATTCAGAATTTCTCCTCTCTGGACACGCATGCATGTTTGCAAGTCACATCTTGTAGTCCAGCTGACCCAGCCCAAGAGGCGCTATATTCAGCTTCTCTGAAGCTACAGCTGGGCAACATCAGCCCCAAATCTGCTCTGCCTGACACACCAGTAACAGAAGTACCAGCTAATCATTTCCAATCCAAAATAAAATTTATGTCGCTGTCAGTGATAAAAATTATCCTGTGACTTGCAGCCCTAAACAAGTAGATCTGAAGCCTTTTCTTTGTCAATTCTTTTCTGAACAGAATCACGTCATTCACTTTAACTGATTTAGGAATGCAACAGCTTAAACAGAATACACATGCAGACAGTAAAATTTCCACTATTTTGCAGTGTTTAAATTTCAGGCTTCTGCCTCTCTAAGAAAAGCAGCTTTATAAAACTGAGACTGGATTTTCCAATCATAATTCAGGTCCATTACAGAGTCATACTGTGCAGTGTGGCAGCACATGACATTGCATTACAGTGTAAAGACAACTGAGGGTATTTTTGGGTTTGCACTCCACCTCCTCCACAGCACAGACCATACTGAAGCCATGAAAGGAAGAGAGTGAAAGCTGATTTTCCTTGCTAAATCTCCCACTAGCCACCCTTGTTTTCCAATAATCAAATTTCATTTATCTGCACTGAAAGCAGAAATAAAAGAAGGAGTGAACAGTTAGACTACTTTCACCCCTAAACACATTAAGCTTGTAAAAGCAAAAAAGTTATCTGTGGCACTTTTGGGCAGCCTGGAGATTTCCTCTGACAATACAAGGGGAGCAGGTCTTCCTTCACTAGGTCTCCTCTGAACGCTTCTGTGCTCGCACTGGGCCATGAGATGCAAAGACACAAGGGAAACAGAGCAGCGATTTACACTGACAAAGAGGATTTTGATACACTTCTCCAAATGGGGCAGCATTACCATCTTAATAGCCTTTTGCTCTCAGCCCTCTTCCTGAGGAGGCTGGAGATTTTTGCGAATGGAGAACAGTTCCGCTTCCCATTTCAACTGCAACAATAGCAGAAGGGCTCCTTAAACTGCATCAAATAGCAGTCTGTGAAATCCCTAACTAGCCGCACTGCCTCTCCTGCCGTTTTATTATCCTCCGGCCCAAAGAACAAAAGGGAGGGAGCTCCTCCTCGTTTTTAGCCTATTCCACACATTCTAATCCCTCAGAGGTGGTAATGGAAATTGCTTGTGCAACTGTTAAATCGCACTTTCACTTTGTCTTTCATTCCCTATTCACCCTCACTAATCAAGGAGCTTCAAGCCACATTTTCCGATATCAATTTTGTTTATGGCCTGTTGGTTAATGGTCCTGGGATGGGACCCCCTGAGTAAGAAGAAAGAATTCTGAGCATTTCAGACAGCTGCTGCTTCTCACCGGTTCCCACACCCATCCACTTGTTCTCAGACACCCTGAATATGCTCACCTCCTGACACCAACTGAATTCAACAACAAAAATTGAAAGGGAAGGCTGCCTCTGCAATCAGGCTGTGGGACAGATTCTGCTTGTTCACAGTGTACAGCATCCTACAGGCTGCAGCACTGGAACAACTACCTTGCCAAAAAAAACCCATGCCCAGTTGCTTTGGGGACATCTTACTTGAATCCAGCTTCTCTTTGGAAAGCAGCAAGAGCTCCATAGAATCATAAAATGGTTTGGGTTGGAAGGAACTTTAGAGATCATTTAGATCCATCCACCCCCACCCACCCCACCCCGCCATGGGCAAGGGCACCTCGCTCCAGACCAGGTTGCTTTCAGCCCCATCCACCCTGGCCTCGAATACCTCCAGGGTGGAAGCACCCACAACTTCACTGGGCAACCTGTTCCAGTGTCTCACCATCCTCAGTGAAGAATTTCTTCCTCGGACCTAGTCTAAATCTGCCCTTTTCCAGCTTACAGCCATTATGACCTTGCTTACTATCCATCTCAGAAAAAAAAACCTGAAATTGAAACAATGTTGTAGACAGTGACTAAGAATAAGCTTACACAAAGAATGCCTAATGGGGATACAATTGATCACTTAGAGAAATCCACAGTGATTTCAGAAAAACAAAGAAGGTTATTTGATATGTGCTCCAGAAGCAGGGAGAAGAGCAATTGTTGTACTCCTAATACAGTGCTTTCAAGGATCCTTCTATCAAAAAAGCCTTGCTCCATCATCATTACATGTTATCAGGCAGGTTTGTTCTCTAAAAGTAGCATTCAGTCCTCAGAAAGCTGTACACTTGGCTCACAGAAGCAAAGTGAAACAAAGATCCTCTCTGAATAAGTGATTGCCATTTCTGAAATCAGAAATGTTTCTTTCCTGAAGTTTCCCACTATTGCCTGAAGAACGAGCAGGAAATAGTAGTATTTCATAATGACCAGAAACAAGTTTGCAACCCAGAAGATATTTGAGTCCAAAAGTAGCATGTCTTATACTCTATTCTGAATCAAAGTACGTCCAGAGCAAGTTCTGCAAGCCATTACAGTTTAAACTGATAAAGATTGTATCTAGATATTGCAGCCTGTTTACAATTACCAGTCAAAATAAAGCACATCAAATTGCAAGAATGCCATCTAAGAATATACTGTATGTAATATCTAAAAACCTAGAAAACAACCAGAGCAGGCTCACATTATCACTGTGTAGATGCATCAAGTTTTGCTCCTTTTATTTTTTTTCTTAAATTATTTGTCACCAGATATCTAAGCTTATCTAGTCATCAATAAATGTAATCATGCTACTGGTCTGGTATAGCCAGTTTCTAAGAGGAAAATGGGCTATTTTATAAGAAGACTGCTCACACAAACTACAGGTTTCTAGTGCTTTAAAGGATCAGTGATTCTCAATCACTGGAACCTGAGAAACAGCAAAACAATTTTTTTTTCTTAATGCCATGACTGCATATGAGAGTGTATCGTCCAAACAAAAATTGACAGGTACTGATTAGTTTTATCTGATCTGCTTAACTGATGCAGCAATCAGGAGCCAGACTGCACATCAACAGCGAGCAACTCAACAAAGCTTGTCTATGAACATCTGTCAAAACATAGGTACACTAAAGAAATATTTATTGGGAGAAAAGTAGTGAAGGACTGCGTTTCTCTTATTCAACATAGTTTTAAAATACATATTTTTGCCACAAAGAACTCTAGCTCTCTGTCATCATGGTATCAGTATCCAGCTTTTTAGTACAATACTCACACCCTGGAGCAGCCATGTCCAACCCGGCCCAGCACAACCCATTCCACAGCTATTCCCTGCCTCACACCACTGTGGCAGCAGCTTCTCCCTGCCGAATGGCTCAGCCCAGCCCTAGGCACACACCCACCACCAAACACTCACACACCAAACACTCACAACCACCAAACACTGCTGTACAATTGGCACCACTTCGTCTGAAACCAGGACTCAGGAAGTGCAGCACTAACTCAAGTTACAGCAAATAATTTTTAAGCATTTTGATACATGGGCAAAACACAGGCCCGTGAAGAGCGAAAAATGCAGCTGTGCTTTCTGTTTTGATAAAGGTTTCAAGATTTCTGAAAAAATGGTCATTTTTAAAATATATTTGCAGTTAACATAAATACATTAGCTACAAATTTTCAAATGAAATATAGAGTTGCAATCAGATATTCAACTAAAAAATTTTTATCAGGTCTCTTTACTAGACCTTTATATGACCTCTCTTACCATAGAAAAATATCTGTGGCATCACAGTCACACATTATCAGGTCATCGCTTTTTGGCAGTATGTACATTTGTAAACAAATATTTTCAAGGATCAAGTACAGAAAGATTAAAATTTCATTAAAAATTTCTGACAAGCACCTTGAGAATTCACTAAGAATTGCAACCACTACCATTGAACCTGACACTGATGCATTAGTTTATCAAAAACAAGGCCAAATATCCAACTAGTTACATGTTTCTGCTACTCAACCTTTTTACATTTTAATTAAAAATATATATTTTTTAAAGTTCTGTAACTTATACACATTAACTATATTATATATTTTATATTCAGCCCACAACAATTCCTCTTCACTCAATGTGATCCAGGCAAGCCAAAAGGATGGACACCCATGTCCATTCAGGACCATACAGCATCCACATTAAATATGCAACAACTAATTCGATACAATCCAACACAAGACAGTGAAAGAAGCAGAAGACTGCCCTTCTCAACCAGACTGTTAAAACACACCATTTCAACAATAGTCATTTTTATTTCCCTCCAGCCTACTTAAAATACTAATAGTAAAAGCAAAATAGTCAGTGTTCTCCTCTTACCTTGAAGAACCAAGCCTGATTTCTCAATGGTGTAGAAAAATGTGGAAAATGGAGCAACAGGGGATTTTGCAACCAGGATCTGCAAAACAAACAAACAATCTGTAAGTACACATCTCTATCACATACTGATCAGAGCTCACATCTGTAGGACAATCTCACTAGATTTAACTTCCAGAAGAGAAGAGCAGACCACAGAAATAACAAAGGTACTATGATTTAAGCTGTCACTTCTAAGTACTTGAGATGTTCTCCTAGGAACGTTGAGATTATGCTGCAATTTTAAAAGGATTCACAGGTAATAAAAAAAACTACCATCTTACAAACAGAACATTTTGCTTGTCTTACTGTCATTCTATTAAGCCTAATCACTCCTGCTGGTTCAGGCAAGAGACAATTTTGAGCAAAGCACTAACTGCCAGTATACAATGTAATTTTAATTGCCATTAACACTCCTACAGCTGTGCATCCTTGGCTCCTCCAAGAATTCTACCATGTTTCTGCTACCACAGAAGCAGTGTAATCCACCTGCAGGCCATCATATCAGGGAAGGTAACATAGCATTGCAGTGATCTGGACAAGCTCTTTTGAAAAAGGGACAGTGGCTAAGAAGAATTTTATTCAAGAATCTTGTCCTTGCTGTCTCAAAATATGACCTGAAATTCCCTGAGGCTCTATAGTGCAATTAGATTTAGCTTGGTATTCAGGTATGCTGGCCAGGTTAGAAATTTGCCAAACTTCCTCACTCCACTGCAAGGAACCATCCACTACTGAGGATGAACTGCAGCAAAGCTCTGGACAGACAGAAAAGGATATGTTAGCAAGGCTCAGATGTGGAATCCACAGTGCTGTCAAATCACCCAAACATGCCTGGTTTTATTGTTTGTTTGATTTTTGCTGATAGTTAAGGACTGCTCCATCTGAGCTTGCCAGAAAATAACCTCCACTCTGTCATCTATATGACAGAGTTAATAACGTCTGGCTAGAGCACAGTCAACACAAACACCAGTCTAGTGATCCCCACGTCACCCGGGAACTGAAGACCTGCTCTCCCAGCATGCAACTCATAAGAGCCTGTCCACCCAAGGGAACCATGAAGCCCAGTTGCTCCCACATGACACACCTCAATCCCTTCCAGAGTTCTGTGCACAGAGCCTATGTCTTAACAGATCAGGAAATCCATCGGGTCTATTACCTTTTCTTCAGTGTATTGATTTACCTGACTCAACCTCAGCACAGCTTTCTCTGTACAGTATTTTAGAAGCAGCACACATCTCAGTGTTTACACTTCCAAAGCCTCCCCAGATCATACACTGCACCACATCAGCCCGAGACATGCAATCTCTAGCAGATGCATTCAAATCCAAATTTCACAGAACTACAGACAACAACAATCTTGTCTGTAGAGGTGTGGAACACCAATAGCTCCTACTGATTTCAAATGGAATAGAAACAACATAATTTCCAAAGGTAACGCCTTAATTCCATCAACCACTCAAGAATGGCTTAAGACTGCTGCATACAAATTTTGGTTGGAGGCATATAACGATCAGCAGGAAACAGTGTTTTATAAAACTTAAGAGAAATCACAGAAAAATGAGGAAGTTCACACTCCCCAAAACTATTCACATTTCCCTAAAGCATCACACAGTATCGAACCACTTTACAGATACATAGATCTAGAATATTTATTGCTAAGTGCAATATTAACAGCAACAAGCATCAGAAGTTTGGGCCTTAAAGCATACTTAATGTAACAAGAGATTCAGCAGCAAATTATGCTGCAAAACAAAGATGTGCACAGTTTTAAATGTTAAGGACATCCACTTGGAAGGCAGGTTTCATTTGCGTTTGTAGTCTGCAGAGTCACAAGAAATCTCAGCATGATCATGTCTGCCTCATCCAACTGTGACACAGGATGAAGAAATAAAGTCCTCACACCCGGTCCTTAAATATAACCATCACAACCCACGAGTGTCCACAGCAAGGTAAAAGGTTTATGATTTTCAGAATTTAAACCAAATACAGTCTTCATTTCTTCTTCAGACAGTAAAAAAAATAAAGGAAGGCACATGAAGACCATAAATACAGCCAGAGAACATCAGACTAGTCTGAATATCAATGTTTTCCTTATGAAGCTGGCAAAACTACCCCAGGATGTGACACAATCTTTTGAACTACTCCAAGCAGGAAAACTGTGGTGCTAGCACTTTCCCCTCTTGCATGTTAATTATTACTCTTACTGCAACAAACTTCTGGAGGAAGGAGAAGCATGTCCCATCACACATCTGCGATGCACCCTGACAGAACCAGAATTCCTTTCCATCACGATTCCCAGAGAGACAGCCCTCCTCCCTCACAGGGAAGCACAGACAATCTACCAGAGAGACAGCAGAGTGCCTCCTGGTGCTTAGCCTGCCTGCGGGGCCAAAACTGCTGGCCTCTGAGAATGCAAGGGAGAGGATGGGGTGGAAAAACTGTGCAAACGCTCAGCTACAGTCTCCCACAACAGCTGGATGTTTAATCAGATAGGCCCAAAGCGAAACAGTTACAAACCTGATGTCTAAGGTCAGATATTTGGCATTCTGCGCAGCATTCTGCACGTAAGTACTAACCTACACATGAACGTGCGCAAGGCACAGTTGTACGTGCAAACGGATAGACATTCAAATAACCCTACGTACATTCTGTTACTGCATTTTTAGGTAGTTACAGTATGCATATAACTAAGTATAGCAATGAAAAAACATAATAAATCATGTCCTTTCAGCAGCACATTGCAGGGCCCCCTCTGAGATGCTGCTCCAATTACCTCTGGGGCTCAGCATTAGCTTTCCTTTTAGTGAAACAGAACTAGCTCACGATATTCAAAAGCAATGTATTATTTTGAATGATTGTTTACTTGGAAAAATAACCTTTAAAGTACAATTGTACACCTCGCAACCAGATACACTTTTTTTTTTTTTTTGGTAACAACTAAGTCTGCATTAACATAAACTGAAAAAACCTACATATTTACATTTGCTTTCTGATCAAAGAGAAACAAAATACTACAAAAGTCACTGTAAACCATCCTCAGGATGGAAAGGCCAACACAGAGTAGGCTCTTAAGCATCTTCAAGGATCTCAGAAAACACAGAATGAAATACAGATCCAAAAAGAGAGTGGTGTTTTGGATGCCATGATGTGAGTTGCCAAAAATCACGCTACTGATGACACTGGAAACAATATTAACAGTATCAAAAAGGAAATTAAAATCTGAGTTATAATCAAATGAGATTGGGATAGTGATTAATCATGTTCTGGAAATTGGTGAAGAAATAGGCGGTTTTCAACAAGCAGAAGAATGCTGAAAAAGAGGAAAGGCAAGAAGCGATGGGGAAGACAAACCTATGGAAGCAGAAACAACTGACTGGAAAGAAAATCCCAGGAGCTCAGCACATTCAAGAGGAAACAGATAAACCCAACTGGAAAAAACAAAATGGTAAGAACCTGTATGTGGATTGAGGCCTGATTGCCAGTATTTGTCATACATCTGTGAAACCGAACATGATGCAATGTAACTGAGAAGCTGCAAACATAGACCTCAAATGGAAGAGGGAAAATAAAGGTAAACTTGTGAATTGAGGCCTGTGATCTGAATCAGTACCATGCAGGGTGTTAGAAGAAATGTTGAAGGGAAGTATAATTAAAGACTTGGGAAACAGGATAGAATGTAACATGGATGTCATGCTAAACACACTGCACATCTTTCTCTGTCATACATTGAGGGTTTTGTTTTGTTTTGTTTAAGAAAAATTATATACTGGATCTCATCTATTTTGATCTCGCAAAGCTTTGAATCATAATTAATGACAAAGAAAATAAAAATAAGCACAGAAGCTGTAAGACAAAAAGGGAAAACAGTTATTGAAAAGAAAACACTTCTTAGCTATAGTAGTACCTTGCAAGGTTACTAAACCCACCCCAGAACATAGCTAGGCCAACAGCAATCCCAACTGTTCAGTGCACTGGTACAATTTACAAGGCACTGGCAAGCTTTACTCTGGAATACGAGGCACAGCACAGATCACTGAGGAACTCAAACTGCAAGAGATGAGCCATGTGCTGCTGAGGAGAAGGCAGCCACGGAAAGGCCACCAGAAAACATGAGCTCAGTGAATCCTGCCAAAAAGGCGGCTGTCTGCTGTCTGTGCAGCAAGTAGGATGGGGACATGAGGGAATGGAGCAGGAAAGAAAGAGGAGAGCTTCTCAGACTGGAAGACAACACTGGCACAGGAACAAACGCGTAGCCACAAATACATTTTGGCTGGAAATTTGAAAGTTTATAACCATCAGTAAAGTAAGATTCTGGAACAGCCTTCGATTCAAAGAGCTAGAAAAAAAATAATCATTGTTTTCAGGATTCAGACTAAAATATTTATGAAAGGGATAAGAAGCAGTGCCTGTGATGCGCTCCATAGCCTATCAAATCTAGTGCTACGTGCAGACTGAGAAACACAAAAGCACTACCAATTCATTTTCTATGCTAAGAGAACTGACAGAGCTGGAAGCCTACAGGCTAACAATTGAAGGCCCGCATGCAACTAGGGATCTTAGCAGTTAGTTAAAGGAGAAACCCTGCTGGTTTTCAAATATAGAATTTCTTATTTAAAGTCTTCTCTCCCTATCTTCTGCTGAGCATCTGCTGCTCTCCCTAAGAATCCAAGCAACCAGCTGAAGATGGGGAGAACACAGAGAGGCTTCCAGGATATCTCAGAAGCATTTCTAAAACTGACATACATTTAACCATACGTCTTGCTCCAATTCTAAATCAGCTCTGGGCAAAATTTGGAGGGAGTATAGAAAGGAGTATAGAAATTACCTGAACCTGAGTCTGAAAATCAATCCTCTATAGTGGGCTAGCTGTAGAGTGTGCTGAGACCAAAAACTGTTTCCACAGACATACTTTCCCAAACTTAGACTAAGAAACATAAGAAATATATTCCTTTTCACTTCTGGAAGATAAAGGAATGTAAAATCCTATAAATGCTCTTGATGCATGTGAAGGAATTTATTGCTTTGTCTCCTACGCAGACAAGT